TTTTGAACTTAAGTTTTCCAATAAAAATCAATGGAACAGAACAACTTTGTGTATAACGACCACCCGGTATAAATAAACGCTTTTTAACGCCAACAGTTATTTTTTCATAGATCAGAATAAAACCTTTTAGCTTGGACGTGGAGGAGTTTACTTATTGCATCAAACGAATTATAGCGCGTTGCAAAATATCATGTATCAATGTCACTACAAATTTGGTGTTTGAATTTGCATTTTATCTTATTAAAACTTCTGATTTGCAATAATGATATTAATATATGGAAGAAAAATATAGATTGTATAACAGAATAAACACAGTGAGTATTTAATCCCGGAAGCGCCATAATTATAAAATCAAATTTTCATACATACTTATGCTCTTTTCATCACATTTTTCTGTTTAGCTTAGCTCGTTTATATCTAGTTATTTACCGTCATTTATGTTATTTTGATAATTACATAGATAAAGGAAATAAATTTAGATTGGAAAGACCGTCAAAATATATAATTGTTTTGGGTCGCGACCGTTGTACGCGATCTGGCGCTGCTATAGCGGTTGCTCAGAACAACCGCAAATAGTAACAGAAATATAATTTTCTCTTGTCAAAGTCAGAATCTTCAAAAATTATAAAATCTTTTAAAATTTAAACCGCCCTTATTGAAAAAATACCGAAAAGTGTTTAAAGCATCCATTCTCAAAGTAATTATTGCTATCTTGTGAGTTTAATTTAAATTTTACTTACTCAAACCCTTGATAATTGTGAAAAAGTGGCATAAAAAACTAAAAAACTGTGTTGTGAACTGTGAACTGCAAAAACCATCGTGGATCGTGGCATAACATCGGTTTCCAATGTTTCATAGGTATTTCACATACACGTTCCTGACGTAAAATAAGTTTTTTGCATGCATTACACTGTATTTTATTCATAAAATTAAAAAAAATATAATAAATTTGAATAAATAATATTTGGCGACATAATTCCGGAAGAAGCCGAACCGATCCGAAATTATCAAAAGCTTTGGGTCGCGACCGTTGCAAAAATAGCGCCAAATAGTGTTTACATTTTACATTGTCCTTACGGGCATTTTCCAATCTAAACTTGTTTCATTTATCTATGGATAATTATACATAACAGATCATAAAAGAGCTGTCATATCAGTCATGTACCTTCGTTTTTAGAGAGCGTCTCCGTTACTTAATTATTTTGATCTCGTTTTTTTGCCCTCCTGAAATCTTGCTATACAAATCTGGAGACCCTGTTAAAGATAATTTTATAATCTTTATGTTCTTGAGTCATATTTCAACAAAATTTTACTTAAATTTCTATACCCGGTGTCCCAATATTCCGTGGACATAGAACTACTGCGTATTTTTGTAAACAAAATAAGTTAGGTAAGTTGGATAAAATTTACCTCTATACAAAAGTGCTTTGTTTGTTCGTTAGAGGGCATCACATTTTAAAAAACTAAATACATTTTTTAAGATATTCTTTGAACCTTTATTCCGATTTGAATGTGATTTGGGGTGCCTAAGTTTTGCTAAGCGCTTTAACATTTGACTTTCACAAAAATCAAGAAAAAGTACAGAAAGGGGAAAACTACCGCCACCCCTACATAAATTTTCGTATAAATATTTTCCAACTCCACTGACGACAATCATAAAATGGTCCTTCTAGTATGTACTACATTTTTTGTATGTAAAAAAACGCGCCACCGCGCTTATTTTTCGGGGAAAAATATTTTTCTGAATCCCAAAAGCTATGTAGACGCATAAAATCTATTGTGCGCTAATTCCACGGGGTTTCTATGTCCACGGGGTATTGGGACACCCTGTATAAACATATAAACAAGATACAACCAATTATTTATTTTATTCTTATTGATACAATGTAATGAATTTTCTTTTATTCTTTTTACTACATTTATCCATTAGGTATTATTATCCGTAGTCCGTAGCATAATTTTTACGGCAAATGTCTCTCAATTCACTTAAACTAAATACAATACATAATGCAGCAATTGGCTTAACAAATGGCTCCAATTGCTAAATGGCACTGCCTACACGAACGACGAAAAAAGCCAGCCTTGGAATTAATTATTGACTTGTGTCAATTTGTTTTCTTCGCGCCCGTTTATGTTTTATTATTGTTATTCCGTTAAATTTTTCTATGCGATCGGCGTCTGCCGCCCGTCTTCGTAAGATTTCCGTCGTGACGTTGTTCCAGAAAACTAAAAATAAGTTTTCCCGGCCCGTTTTTCGCTTTGATCCGCCTTTTTCGTCAATTAAGAGGAAATGTGAGTCGTTTCTATCTAGCCTCTCCAATTTTATCTCTTCGGCTTTGACTGTTTTTTCTATCGATTATTTTTGGACAAAACAACTACCATCCTCTCTCAAACGAATGAGATACTGCTCAGTCTTCAGATGAATGACTTTTTTCAGCGTTGTTCAAAATATGAAGACCACACAGGAAAAACGATTAATGCTAATTTCATTTTAATGCATAATATTTTTCGTTTTAAAAAGCTACACCTTTTAGTACCTAAATAAACGGGAATATCGATAACGGTCATATAGAAACAGGCATTTAAAAATGGGAAAAACGATTAAAGTCCATGCGTAATTTAAATTAAAAAACGTTTTCCTGTGACATTTATCCCCCGTTTTTGGACACCCATCGTTTTTCCCGTGTGCTCTTCATATAGTATAGACAGAGGTACCTAGTTGGCATTTATATTTCTCTCGCACAATTTGATTTAGGAATATATTCTTATAGAAGATTTCATAGAAAAAATACTCTTAAGATGATCTCAGATACCTGTCGGAGATTTGGAGGGGGACCGGAATTGTTTATGTATTTGACAGGTTTATGGCAAAACTTTTTAAAATTTTGCTTAAATGTACCTTATGATGAAAAAAAAACCGCGTCACAGATGGCTGGGTGACGCTGACAGTCGATGATAACTTGCGAGGTCAGTCTATAGACGTCATTTTCTAAAAATTGACATAAAACTTGTCAAAATTAACACTAATTATAAAAACATTTAAAAAGGATAGATAAAATTACAAAATAAATACCACAAAAAAAAAATACCACAAAAGAAACATATTTTCTATTTACCGGTTTTCAAATAAATCTAAAATACCCGAGATATTTTACTTTGAAAATTTCTAAAAAATGATTTTTTGCTAAAGTTTTGAGAGCTACTCGATCTTTTCTGGATTTTTACACAATTATTTTATTTATTGTTTTCATTTAGTTTCTAAATACACACCGCTAATTGAGAAAATAGTATCGTTTGGTAATACTCCATTAAATATAATCATGTAAATTATTAATTTAAAGATATTATCAATATCAATTTATAGATATTAGATTTTTAGAAGTGACTTTCTTATCAAATTTGCTATAATACAATAATACTTCGGGCGCTTCGAATTATTGTTCGGGAAACTTTGGCAGCATATTCTGCAGATAAAAATAAGTAAAAGTGTTTGTATAAATGTATGTCCTAAACGATAACTCAAAAACCGCTAAACCGATTTTAACCAAATTTGGCTTGGTTTGGTTTGCTCAAAAATACTGTGGCACCCGAGAATTTGGCCATTAGTTTTTGGTGGGGTGGGGGGTTGGTAAGGGGGTATGGGAGGGGGTTAAAAAATTTTAAAAATCGTAACTCCAAAATTACAGTAGCTAGCGAAACGCGGTTTTCAATTTAAGATTAGGAATAATATTTGCAACAAAATTTGTAATAACATCAAAATCAGTCAAAGTCTCAGTTTTTGGGATAAAAAAAAATTGGAAAAATTCCTTTACTTTGAAACTAAAAGAACTGCCTACCAACTTTTTATTTACATATTTTAGTATGGGCGGCTATACGTGCCTCCCGGCACCAATTTTTTACATTAATCATAATTTTTTTAGACAAAATTATGATAAAACAGTTTCTGTTGAACCTTTCGTACAAAAATATTTCAAATTTATTATTTGAGTCTAATAACTACCTATCTAATTAACATGTTTAATTTTCGTCAATGATAATATGTATTAACTATTTCCATTCTAAATATCTTGGAAATCATTACTCGTAGAGATTTTTACCAAGAGACCTTTTTTACGTAAAATACGACGGAAATGTATATTTTTTCACTCAGTACTTTTATACAGATACGAACGAAAAGTTATTATTCTTCAAAAGAAGTTAAAGAACATATATGACGCCCCCTATAAGTAGGAGTCAAATTGACATCGAAATCAAATTTCTCTCCAAAAAACTGCCAGGCATCAATTTTCATTCAAATATCGACTATAGATCAGAAATTATTTGGAAAACCCCGAAACAAACATGAAGCTTCTATACCCTGTATCTCCGAAATGAAGCATATTAGAACATAAATTGATATGAACTTTTTTTACTTATTTTTATCTGCAGAATACGTTGCCGTAGTTTCCCGATTACAATTTGGACCCACCTGTATATAATATGCATATTATTTTTATTAAATTTACATTTACACACTATATTTTTCTTGATACATTTTGACTTAACAGGTAAGACTGACAGGGTAAAACGTTATGTGTAGACGTGGCTTAAGTTATAGTAATTCTTGATTACGAAGGAGTATAGTAATTCTTGATTACTCTTATTGTATTACCTATTTAACAGTAATTATCAAGTTAATATTCAAAGGTACCACTTCAGTATTTTTAAGGCTGATTTGCACTTATCCAGTAGCTGGCGCCGTGGCTGGCGCTAGTTTTATTGGTACGCCAGCGCTGCTGGTATGGTAGTGTACTACTGGTGGCTTCTTCGTACCAGTGATTACGGAAAAGTGTTTACACTGTGCCGCCACCATACCACTGCTGGCGTACCAGTGATACTGGCGCCATGTACTGAATACGTGTAAATTTTAGCTATTACACCGCGACAATCAATTTTGTTTTTTTTTGCGTATTTAAAAAGTTTATTAATTTTATACTAAACCTACATAATTTTTGTTACAGTACCAGTCCAAGTCAGCTACAAGAAGTCACTTTGGATCAGGATGGCTCGTTCTCAAGTAAGTATCGAACTGGAAATTGGCAAAGAACCAATTTTTTAACCTTATGCTTGTTGTTTGATTGTGCCAAGATTTTGACGGGGTCGTATATTGTTTGAAAATAGAACCGATATACGATGCTACACTATAATAAAGTCTGGCGTGAATGAAATATTTCTTATAGAAAATGCGTATAAAATTTCATAGAATTAGGACATATATTTTGAATTTACATGCCTCTTTACATTTTTTTACGTTTTATTTAATAGAAGTATACAGAGTGTTTCAAAAAACATGTGCCATCTCTCGTGGGGAGATTCCTGACGTAAAAATATAATTTATTTTTCACATCAACCCTTGGTCCGATTCTGCTTTGTTTCGTAGCTACAGGAGGTTTAAGTCTTTTCGATTTATTATAATTTTCTTTCGTGTGCGTATTAGTGGAGTGCCCATAGACTTTTACCTCGGAATTCAATTACTGTGAATGTATTAATGTGAAACCTTCTGTATTGTGTTTTATAGATAAAATACTAAAATGTTTACCCATTTTTTTTCGTTGCTTTTAATTTTTTATTTTAGTAATTTTAATAAATTCTTAATTATTTCCTTCTTAATTTTTTGATTTTTTTATTCTTTTCCTAAGTAAATTTATTGAAATAAATGAATCTAATGCATAAGCTTTAACTATTCTGCTTATATTCTAATCATTGAAATTTTGATTGAAATCGAATTATACAGGGTGGCGCGTCATATACAACGCAGTTTTTGCAAGGAGAACAAAAGTTTGTATTGAAATGAAATTTTGTTGGCTTATGTAAGTCAATTTAAAGCATTTTTTAAAATTGTATAGAGTTCTACAGGGTGTCCCTAAAAAAGTTACACATCAAAGTTATGTTTTTTGTAATGGAACACCCTATATAATAATTGACTTTTGGATTCTAAAATAAAAATAAAGGAGTGTTTCGTTAGAAAATTATATGACTAGAATGTATAGTTTTTGAAATACATTCACCGGCACTGAAAATGGGCACCTAAAACTTTGATGTATTTTAAAGAGTTTAATATATTTTGTCATTAGAACAAAATATATTTTTTTTTATTTGTACAAAATTATTTTTTAAGCAGTGTGTAGCCAAATTATTTAACTTTTTAGTGCCTTTTTCTAAATTAAAAATTAAACTCCCCATCTGTTAATTATACGAGGAAAAACAAAATGTTGATATTTTGGTGAAAGTTTGAAGCACCCTGTGAAATATGTTAAAACAGCAAGAAATCAATTATATAAAAATCATTTTATCATCGAGATACATCCTTTCTCGATGGTTTGTTTTTTGGTTCATCTCATTAGCTTTATTTTTGTTGGAAATATTCGGTTTTAAAGAAGGCACTAACATTTGTTCGTAATTTTTACATTAAGACCATGCCTTTGCTTTTGGGCCTAGTCAACACATCTAGTAAGTTCTGGTCCCAAAGCAGGCCTTCTTGACATAAGATTTGCTTCATTTAATCTTCTTCTTGTAGTTGGTTAGTTAATATGTACGGTCCTTCGGTGCAATTTCTGGCAAACTTCGGTTTCTTAGCGATAAACTTACAATAAGTCGATCGTCTCGATTAGAAGTTCTCATACGAAGGTTCCTGGACGTCTAGATTGACGTCCTCATTGACGTGGTCATAATTCAAAGGCCATTTAGTATACTTTATGGTATTAAGGTATTTTTGGAACTGCAATTTTATAGCAAATTCACTGAACTCGAATAAATAAATAATATACAGGGTGTCCCAGAAATAAGTGCAAATATTTTAACTGGTAGTATAGTTCAACCCCAGAAACACGCCTATGAGGTTTTTTTCGCGAAAAAAAAATTTAAAAATTCGAAATTTTTTGAAAAATTTTTTAGAAATTTTTTTAGTTTTTAGTTAAAAAACATAATTTCTTGATAATATGGCAACATAGGTATTAGATTAAATTTACAAGAAAGAAAATCCAGAAAAGATCCAGTGATTGTCAAAATTTTAGCAAAAAATCATTTTTTTGGAAATTTTCAAAGTAAAATAACTCCGTTATTTTGAACTTATTTGAAAAACGTTTTCAAAAAAAGAGAAAATATGTTTCTTTTATCGAGATCTACCACCCCTTAAAATATTTGCACTTGTTTCTGGGACACCCTGTATATTTGACTCACCCTGTATATCTATAAAAATATTTTTGAAATGTCAATTACCATTAAACATATATTTTGTAAAAGGTTTGGAGTGAAAATCTCACATAGGAATCCTGATACATGATACAGAGCTTTTCCGAAATACGGAGCCATCTTGTATGTATGCATTTGTATATGTGTGTTTATTTAAATACTAAAGTGAAAGCAACTAATTTAAATGAGTAAACTTTGTAATATATTTTCTTAACAATACAATGCAAAAAGTTTTATAATAATTCGTTCACAGTAAATGAATTCCGAGGTTTGTATCCCATAAGGGCTTAAAGCACTCCACTATATGTATATGTAGCACTTATAGTAACTTTTGCCCTCAAAATTTCATTCGAATCACGAACAAATTTTTTTATAATAAAAAGTTTTATAATAATTCGTCACAGTAAATGAATTCCGAGGTTTGTATCCCATAAGGGCTTAAAGCACTCCACTATATGTATATGTAGCACTTATAGTAACTTTTGCCCTCAAAATTTCATTCGAATCGCGAACAAAATTATAACAAATCGAAAAAAAAGATTAACATTTATAAACTAATCGACTAAAAGACAACCACTGCTTTGATTATTTTATTGGTTTTCATACTCGATTACAGAAAATAGCTAAAATATGCAAAATCTAATACGGAACGTCAGATAAGAAGTTACAAAACGAGCGGTGTCCCACCTAGACTGACTCTCAAGCAACGACTCTACAACGACTGACTATTCAGTCCCTACTCTCCGTCAATAAAACTAATTATATAACACCTTATCATTTAACATACAATCGTGGCCAATAATATTTATACATAAAATATATAGTTCTTCTCCACAAAATATTATGTTCCATGGTCGCCGAAAATTACTGCTCACACATTTTAATCCGGACCTATAATAATATGAGAAATTTTTTTTTCTCTGGCATCGATCGCCAGGATCATTAGCCATATACAACTCGTATGTTAATAATGCAATTACAGGGATCTATCTCAATATCCTCAAAGGGTTCACTCTTACAAAGACAATTCAAAATTTAAAAATCCACATTGACACAAACATTTCAAGTTGAGTGACAAAGGATCAAAAAACTAAACACAAAAAAGTAGAGATACAAAAAACAAACAACAAGAAAATAGATAATTATTATTATTTACATCACAGTATCACAGTTAGATTAGAGTATCATAGGCAAGTAGCACAGTTGGTTGTATATACTAATGTCTTTCATAAAGTTCAAAATATTTTTAATTTTTTCTTCTTCGGTTAAATTTTCTCGAATTTCACCACGTATATTGAATCTACTTCTTTCTATCGTATATTGAGGACATTCACATATAATGTGAGTTACTGTCAACTCAACATCACAGACTAGTGCAAGATGCAAGGATGGTGTTGACGGATCCTGTTTTATTGCGCGAAGCTTTGACGGTTTACCTACCCACTCATCCTGCCATTCCCTTTCTGTTCTTTTATGCAGTAGAACTTTATATATAAGGGAAATCAATGGTATCTCCTCTAGCAGCTTCATCTGCCATTGTGTTGCTAAGTATATTAGTGTGGCTTATTGGGACCCATACAAACGTGAGTTTGTTTCCTTTTTCGCTGCACTCTTGAATAAGCGTCTGGATTTTTTGTTTTAGAGGATCATGGACAAATATGTCATTAATTTTAGACACGATCTCTAAAGAGTCAGAAACAATTGAATCTTATTTATAGGAAAGGAATCTCCCCACGAGAGATGGCACCCTGTATCTATGGAATACGTTCCATACCTATAAATGTGAAATTTTGAAATATAAGCCCTAACATTAAACATTATAGTTTTAATGTATCTATAAAATGATACTAAATGTACGGGTGTTATCTTACGCTATTATTCGTTTAATGCCCTCTAACGGACAGACGAGGCACTTTTTTGTATAGAGGTAAATTGTATCCAATAAACTAATTCTGATTCCAAAAATACGTAGTAGTTCTATGTCCCCCTGTACATTATAATTGATCTATTTTATTTATTACTGAATATTGCCTAAATAAAAATCGGATTATATAAACCAATCAATCCACTTAGCACAAATTCTAAAATTACTTTCAGGAGATCGTTTTTTGCTCATTAAGAATTCTTTTCCAAATGTACATTTTTTCGCAGCTATTTTAAATAGCATTCGTGCCATTCTTAACCCCAAATTGTTAAAATTGATCAAATATCTTCCACAATTGAGACGTAAAAGATATTTTTAAACTGAAGATTTTTTATTGGCGTCTTCTAAAAAAACAAAATTATAACTATTATAATATATTACTATTTTCCTGTTGATAAACACTGCTATTCTAGAATTCAATATGTAATAGAACTAATTATTTTTAAATTCGAGAAAAAATAATTTTTTGGAAATAGATTTGTATCTGGAAACATTCTATCCTTTTTTAATATTTCTGTAATTACTAATTAGTGTTAATTTTTGACGAGTTTTATGTTAAGTTTTAGTACATGACATCTAGAGATTGACATCGCCAAAATTATCCGATTTTATCTGAACAATATAATCTAATTATCGATTGTCATTCCTCGGCTGGTTTTTGACGTCGTTTTTTTTTCGATCATACGGTACTTGTGATATGTGACACATCAGTGTGTTTTACAAGTACCGGGTGTCCCACTAAGAATACCTCTCGACTGTATCTCGGAAAGTATTAGCCGTAGGGCTTACGGAAAAAAATATTTATAACTAAAGGGGCTATGAGAAATTGCTGGAAATTATTTTTAAGTTTGTAAAACGGCCGCTAGATGGCGCAACTGCTATGGAAATTAAGAAAATAGATT